ACATGTTCCACCCCGTTTTTAGGGTGGAACATGTAACATGTTCCCATAGCTGCCCCCCTCCCTCTGACAGATAGTATGGGGAAACTTCTCCCCATACTATCTGTTAGATTTGAAAACAGTGGCCGTGTGGGTGGAGCCCCGCACGGCCGCGTCACTCATTAACAGTGTTCTGTGAATGAGTGCCTACGAGTCCCGGCAGCCTTAGTGGCTGTGGGCTTGTAGTTTTCAATGAACTACCACAGTGTTGTGGAGCACCGTGGTAGTTCATTGAAGCTTCCTATCAGTATATCTGCTTGACTTGTACATCTAGTATGGCAAGCAGATATTCTGACAGGTCTGCAGGGGACCTGCATGGCATCAGCGATCTACTGATCACGGGTGCAATGCTTTACAGGCTCCTTTGGACAAAAATAATAAACGCACAATTTTTTACCTGCAAAAAAATGTGCATTTATTATTTTTGCCCAAAAGATGAACTTATCCTATAAGCTGGCTTCACCCTTGTAGAATTTCATTAAAAAATTGCTGTTTTCAGAATGTTCATTTGATTATCTAAGAGTTAAAGGGGAGGATTCCACAATCAATTTCAAAGTGAAGCAAAGTTATTGAAGGACAAAGATGGAACATTTTTGTTCTATCTAATTGGAAATAAACACATTTCTAATTGATGGGGATTCCGGAGGAGAAAAATGTAACTCATCTTATGCGCATTTCCTTGGCAAGTAGAATGTTGGTTCTATGAAAATCAAGACAATGACATGGTACTCGAATGAAAAGTTTAAAGTTAGTCAAGTCAATGAAGGCACCATAGAATTGTAAATGGAGCTAATTTCATACTGGCTTGTCCAAATGTAAAACAAAATTCTTCAGGTGTAAGGCCAGCCTTAGGTTTGCTGTGCCAATTGCAACTTTCACAAGAGGTCCTAGAGGAATAACAAACAAAATGAAAACATAACAGAGGGCATGACACACCTCCTCATCGCAATATTGTAAAAAAAATACAAAAAACAGATAGGTGGACATTTCTTTCTGGAATGCTGTTTATAAACTTCACTTCAGAAATGTCTCCAAAAGGCCAGTATGGCTGTTAACTGACTTAGACATACTGTACAGATCTGATCCGGAGCGGCTCTGTACCATGTGATCACCTTGATGACCAACCACAGCAATCACAAAATGTAATCAGTTCCAATGTTTACATCTAAGGGCCTGCTCCGTTGTCTTACAATGGAGGAATGGGAAGGAGGAGGAACTAAGGAATGAAAGTTCATTCATTAGTTTCAGAGCAACAGAAGCAACAGGCTCAGGGTAGGAGAGGGGTAATTGTGGGATCATTTTTAACCCTTTCACCAACACCTTCACACCTGTACATCTGATCTCCAGCCTGTCTCTAGTGACTTGTATTTTAAACCTTCACCTACCTTATCCTGCACTTCTGAACATTTCCCCCTCATCTCCATCCTCCCACTGTATGTGACCTGTACATTAACCCCTTCACCTCCTCCTCCTACCTCTGTATATAACCTATGATGCTGCTGTATCTAGTGTACCTCTGCCAAACTGCATGTTTTAATCCCCTCAATACAAGCAGGTTTCTTCATTTGAAAACATTTTTTTAAAAAATGTGTTTGTTTTCCAAAAAAGGATAATTTATGGGGTGTTCATACTGTCCTGGCATATATATTTTATGTTTTATAAATAAAGGAAATTTTTTTTTTTATAATTTTTTCCTTTTTACCAAACTTTTCAGTATTACAGCCAAACGTCATATTTTACAAATATTCACAGGCCGAAAAAAATTGTTTTATAAATTAACAAATAAAATTTAAATGAATGGATAAGTTTAACTTGGTTGCTTTTTTTTTTTTGAACAACAAAGGAAAATTGTCAGTAAACAAAGTAAAGAAATACAAAATAAGTTTGAACCCATCAGAGTCCCCCATCACATCAGGGTCCCCTCCTACATCAGAGTTCCCAGCAGAACCTCTTTATATCAGAATCCCCATCAAAGTCTTCCTTACATTAGAGTCCCCCTGCATGAGCATCCTCATCAGAGTCCTCTTTACATGACATTTCCCACTTACCTTTAGAGTTCCCATTAAAACCCCTTTTGCATCAGAGTCCCCAACAAAGTTCTCCTTACATTAGAGTCCACCTTACATAACAGTCGGTCCCCCCCCCTTACATGAGTTCCTATCAGAGTCCCCCTTAGGCTGGTTCACACTGATCCATTTTTCTTTTGCTTATGCAGAAGAAAAACGTTTGACCATGTATTCCTATGGAACTCTTTACACTGATCTGTTGCAGGTCTGCTGCATTTTCTAAATTCCTGCTTGCTGCATATTTGGTGCAGATTTGTTGCAGTAATAAAATGCCCCACCCTAATGAAACCAATGGAAAATGCAGCAAAAATACATACAAAATGCACCTATGTTGCTTTTTGTTGTGGTTTTTTGAGTCACATGTCCTGTAAAAAAAATGCTTTGCAAATGCGAAAAAAATGTGTTTTTGCTATGGATCAGTGTGAAAGTAGCATTACATGAGATTCCCCACTTACCTTAGAGTTCCCATTAGAACCCCTTTACATCAGAGTCCCCATCAAAATTCTCCTTACATTAGACTCCCCCTTACATCAGAATCCCCTTTATAAGAGAGTCCACACTTACATCAGAATCCATATCAGAGTCCCTGTCAGAGTCCATTTTACATCAGAGAGCTGGATAAGATCTTGCAACAGGCCAGATTTGGCACACGGCTCATAGTTTTGGAAAACCCTGCTTTATATATATTAGAAAAATACAGATGACTAAACTCTCAAAAGAAAGTCCATCTAAATAAAATTACTGTATATAAAATTAATTAAAGTTGAATGATGGAGTAATTGTCAGTCAGACTATCACATCACTGAAAAATGGCCTGGTAATAACAGGCTAGAACTGGCTAGAAGTGTATAAAGTGGTTCTAAAGGCTGAAGGTTTTTTTTTTTCATCTGAATGCATTCTCTACAGTAAGGTAAAAATCCTGCATGCAGCTTCCCTCCTTACACTTACTTGATTCAGCACTGTGCACAAGTGCCATGGCTGTCTCAACTCTCTCCTTCCTCATTGGCTCAGAGACAGCCAAGAGAGCCATTGGCTCCAGCTGTTGTCAATCACAGCCAGTGAGGAAGGTGCCAGGGGACTGAGCCGTGCTGTGTGTATCAACGGACACACAGAGCTGGCTCAGGAGCGAGCACGCACAAGCTTACTATGAGGGCACTCGGTGGTAGGAAGGAGCCAGGAGCGATGGTGAAAAATGAGAAGAGGAGGAAGTAAGTAGGACATGTTTGTTGTTTGTTTGTTTTAATACAACCTTTCCAATAATTTTATCTATTCTCAAAAAAAAAGTTTTACTTTAGATACACTTTAAGTGCTTTGTCCACGACCAATTATGTCACATACAGTAGAAGCTAAAGCTATAACAGTTCTTGTGGAATTGCTGATAATGAAGTGAACCTTTTTATATGAAAAAAATTAGGACCAATAAAATCTTATTACATATTTATGTCATTGTGAATCTGATTTGCCGTTATGGGGCAGAGCACGCGGCTATTGTATCTAAGTGCTTCTGTACCAGTTCATTGAATTTGACCAGGTGGAATGCTTCAGGCCTTCCAGAGCTCTCCTGTTACATTTCCGGCATTAGGAAGTCAGATTGTTGTGTGGTACATGCTTTCTCTGACATTTGTATAATTGTTTTTATTTATGGCAGATACCTGGGTGACAGAGATGCACAGGAAGAAAGAAAACAAATTCTCGGGGAGGGAAGAGATAGTCCCCCTGCGTCTGATCTTCAACAGTGAGCAGGACAACCAGACCGGCCAGAGTGTGCTCAGCACCCTGATGAGGACGGACAGCTCCCAGGACAAGGTATGCATGAGCTAGGCCATTGCACAACTCTTGTTACCCTGGAGATTCGCATTAGTTTTAAGATGGATGTACTGTACACAGGGAAAATAGAATCAGGGCCAGGGTATGTAGGCTGCATTAATAAGCTGTGTCCCTGTTTCCAGGCTTCAACACGTCTCATATATCAAATGTGGCTGAAGACGAAACTGTCTGTGTTTCATCACTCAAATAGGCTAAGTTTAGATGTACAACAGTCTTTACTGTCCTTCTAAAAAGCGATCCATGAGGAATTGCTGTTCAGAGGTGTTTGACAAGTAGTGAGGAGGCGATATGTTGCCTACTCACCACCTTTTTTAAGCATGTAAATGCCACACTACTGCACTGCAGCCATGTGTATTACATGTGGTTGAAGCAAACAATAAAAAAGAAAACAAGAGGGCACAAAGCCCTAATGCATTACCAGGTAAACCGTTAGGCCTGGTTCACATCAATGCATTGTTTAGTGGTTCTTGCAGAAACACACTACAGTCCATTTAACTTGGTTTCCTATGGGACATGTTCACATCTATGCTTTTTTGACCTGCTGCGTATTTGGATAGGGTCAGGGACTTTTTTAACCGCCTCCCGCCCGCCATAAAGTATGATGATGGGCGCAAGGTGGTTCTCTCGTTCTGGGAGGACGTCATATGACGTCCTCCCATTCTAACTGCGCATGTGCGGCTCCGGGAGCGCGCGGCAATCGGCGGTGCGCTGTGTCTCTCGGACACAGCAGATCACCGATCAACGAGATGTCAGCTCGGTCATGTGATCAGCTGTGCCAATCACAGCTGATCGCACGTAAATAGGGAAATGCCGGTTATCAGTTTCTCTCCCCACGAGCTGTCACGCTGACAGAGGAGAGGGAGAACCGGTAATCGGTATCCCTCAGAGGGGACACTGATGATCAGTGTGCCCTGATGATCTGTGTAGCCCCAGCAGTGCCACCTGTCAGTGTCCATCAGTGCCAGCTGTCAGTGCTCATCAATGCCACCTGCCAATGCCCATCAGTGCCACATCAATGCCACATTTCAGTGCCTACCAGTGCACATCAATGCCACATATCAGTGCCCATCTGAGCTGCCTTTCAGTGTCACCCATCAGTGCCAGTCAGTGCCACCTATCAATGCCAGTTAATGCCACCTATCAGTGCTGCCAATCAGTGCCAGTCAGTGCTGCCAATCAGTGCCAGTCAGTGCCGCCTGTCAGTGTGCATCAGTGCCCGTCAGTGCTGCCTATCAGTGCCGCCTAACAGTAACAGTGCCACCTAACAGTGACAGTCAGTGCTGCCTATCAGTGCCATATATGAGTGCTGCCTTTCAGTGCCCATCAGTGCCACCTACCAGTGTCTCCTCATCATTGCCCATCAGTGCCACCTATCAGTGTCCATCAGTGCAGCCTATCAGTGCCCATCACTGCAGACTCATTAGCGCACATCAGTGAAGGAGAAAAATCACTTATTTTCAAAATGTTATAACAAAAACTAAGAAAAAACATATTTTTTCACAATTTTCAGTGGTTTTTGGTTTGTTTAAGAAAAAATAAAAAACCCAGAGGTGATTAAATACCACCAAAATAAAGCTCTATCTGTCTCAAAAAAAATGATAAAAATTTCATATGGGTACAGTGTTGCATGACCGCGCAATTGTCATTCAAAGTACAACAGCGCTGAAAGCTGGAAATTGGCCTGGGCAGGAAGGGGGTATAAGTGCCCTGTAGGCTTGTGGTTAAACTCAAAAAGCTCAATGGAGAAGTTGCTGAAACGCATATAGTGAGTTTTTGCCGTGTTTTTGCCACGTTTTGCGTTTTGCTTTTTTATTCTGCCCAGCAACTAAAAAATTTCCCCTTTAACAAAAAAAAAAAAAAGCTGAAAAAATGCAAAACATAGTAAAAAACGTGGCAAAAACACGCATGCAAAAAGCATTGCAAAACAGTCAAAAAGCACAATGTATTGGTGTGAACCAGGCCTTACTAAAAAAGAAAGAATGAGTATAACCTCACAAAGCCTGATGCTAATATGCAGTATCAACCAGACCCAAGTGGCAGGGTGAACCACATAAAGGGAAGTATCAGTACATTTCGGATTCACCGAGACTCGCCAGCTAATGCATTTCTAGGAACGAATCCTCTATCAGAGAACGTTTGTGCCATGAATTAACACACTGAATGGTCCACTTTACAGCTCTTCTGATCCTTACAATACCTTTAGCACTATGGTGATTTATTAGTGTTTGGACATGTGGTTGCAGGGTGGGAGAAGCACAGCCCAATTCACTTTAATGAAGCACAACTCTTGTACATGACAAAAAGATTGGCAGTTGTGTACAGATTGTGACCCAGGTACTTCTGACAGATAGCCTAGCCCAGGGGTCTGCAACCTTTAAGACATAAAGAGCCACTTGGACCCGTTTCCGAAGGGAAAAAAAGACTGGGAGCCGCAAAACCATTGCAACATTTAAAACAAATCCGACACTGCATATATTGCAAAAAGCGCTCTGGTCATGAAGGGGGTTTAAGGGCCCAGTAAGCAAAGGGTTAATCAGGGCCACAGTGTATCGTCATAATCACAATCATAGCCTTAGGTCAGTGGTGGGCAACCTTTTTTTTTCAACTGAGCCAAATCTCGCCAAAACCACGATTGAAATTTATTTTGAGAGCCACATTTTTAAAACTGAAAATACATCTCCCATATATAGTAATTCATCCCTCATAGTAATTCATCCCCCATAGTAATTCATCCCCCATATAGTAATTCATCCCCCATATAGTAATTCATCCCCCATATAGTAATTCATCCCCCATAGTAATTCATCCCCCATATAGTAATTCATCCCCCATATAGTAATTCATCCCCCATATAGTAATTCATCCCCCATAGTAATTCATCCCCCATATAGTAATTCATCCCCCATATAATTCGTCCCCCATATAGTAATTTCATCCCCCCATAGTAATTCATCCCCCATAGTAATTTATCCCCCATATAGTAATTCATCCCCCATAGTAATTCATCCCCCATATAGTAATTCATCCCCCATAGTAATTCATCCCCCCATAGTAATTCATCCCCCCATATAGTAATTCATCCCCCCTATAGTAATTCATCCCCCATATAGTAATTCATCCCCCATATAGTAATTCATCCCCCATATAGTAATTCATCCCCCCTATAGTAATTCATCCCCCCTATAGTAATTCATCCCCCATATAGTAATTCATCCCCCCTATAGTAATTCATTCCCCATATTGTGTCAATTCACTTACCTTTGCTCCGCGCGTTCCTCTCGCCGTGTTCCCCCGCGCCGTTCCGGTCTTCAGGGCGGACTGTGAGAGGAGTTCGTCACGCTGCCCCGCCTACATCCTGACAGCCAATGTTTGCCACGCTCCGTGGGCCGGATTAAAAGGTCCGCCGGGCCGTAGTTTGCCCATTGCTGGGCTAGCTGCAGAGTCCTGACTTTTGGGGCGGCCCGCCCGAGAGGAGGGAGGGGAGCGGGCGCGCCGGCACACAGAAGAGCCGCATTAAAATGTGTAAAGAGCCACGGCTTGCCGACCACTGAGCTACGGCAACCCTATTGCCTGTCACCTGGTGGGCAGTGTGCTCCGGAGCCGCAGGAAAGGTGAAAAAGAGCCGCATGCGGCTCTGGAGCCGCGGGTTGCCGACACCCGGCCTAGCCAGATCCTCCAGTGCAGTTAAAGCAGAGATAAAGTTTGCATCACTTATCTATGTTTCAATGATCTGACGTTTGCATGGTCCATCAACAGCGCCATTACCTTCTCCCTGGCTTTCCCCAATCCCATGTTATTGGGTCTTCTTGATTGGACTGTACGGGATGATGTAATACCCTTGCATTTGCTGGAATTCCTTTGTCCCAGCACACAGGTACCATAACAGGAATGTACATTGAGCTGCTCATGCACAGCTCAGTGTTCATTCTACAAAAGCCTTTGAGCAGGCAAATAAGTATATTTTATTAAAGAAGAGACATTGCAGAGAGTTTTTTGTTTTTTTGGCTTTAGTTCCGGTTTAAGCTGCGCCGTTTGTTCAAGGACCCCTTCCCCCCAACCTGCTGATGGGGTAATGAAGGAGCAGAAACACAATGGTGAGGTCATTGTGACAGACCGCCTGGTACCCCGACTGAGTGCCTCTAACAGAGAATTGCTTCCTCATCACTGGGACACATGATCAAGGTATTATAGTTGGGCAATGCACCCAAGGGCTAGACGACACTAGCTTAGGCGCAAAACTGGAACTCCTTTATTGAACAAAAAAAACAAGTTTTTATAGGGGCAGTCCTTACATAAACAATAAAAACATATATTACACATTGAGATAAACATCCCACACTAATTAGATAACGAGGTAAAGTTGACACCAGACTAAACCCATCATGTAGGATCTTCCAGGAGGACTAGCCAACAAACAGAAACAATAGGTGACTCAATTAACTCAATTAACAATGGAACAAAAACACAATGTTACACACATAACATCTTAATAAACAGATTACAGAGCCTAGGAGGCGGGTAGAAGCATTCAATGCTGGTTTGGACACAGATACCCCAAATCTGTATCCGGGCCCTCCAGTTCTCAGAGTCTGTGTATTTCAGGGACACATGGACTTGAATGCGAAGTAAAAGGTCCCCACAGGCACACACCTCCCAAAGAATGGAGCCCCCTCAGATGCCAGGGCCCATGGTCAGTAGGCAAGAGAAAAGCCTGCAGTCCCCTCCAAAAGCCCCTGTCCCGGCTGGGTCTGTCACAGTCATGCCAATGCTCTCCACTCATGCAGACATGGATCAGACTCATAGCACTGGGCAAAGCAATAGTTTTCATTAAAGTAGAACTATGGAAAAAACGTTTTTGGATAGAGTAAGAGAGGTTTATAACCAAGTCAGATTTTTTTTGCCATCTGTGTCTCATTGTGGAGATTTACCTTCACTTCCTGTCCCACAGCCAAACAGGAAGTGAGAGGAAATCCTTGTAAAATAAGGGAATTCCTTGGGGCCCCCAGTATAATGGTAACGAAGACAAATAGAGAGGGTGAATCTCCTTAACAGGGGCACAGACAGCAATAAAAACTGACAGGTATTCTAGTCCCTCTCTGCACTATCCAAACCTAAAAACAAAGTTTTTTCCTTTAGTTATACTTTAGGTTTGTTGCCCCTCCTTATCTCTGGATTACAGAAATGAATACAAAAACAGAATTCAGGCAATTATTACAGAGTTACTTAACCTTTTTGTCACTAGAAATCATGGCTGCCTTGATGCCTAGATCAGTATTAGCAGGGTCAGTATGTGTTGAATAATTTGACGATAACTATGACTAATATGTCTTCCTAAAAAATGTTCAGATTTGTTTTTTCAAAACACATAGGGGGCTATTTACTATAACTAGAAAGTGCAAAATCTGGTGCATCTGTGCATTGAAACCAATCAGCTTCCAGGTTTTTATTGTCAAAGCGTAATTGAACAAGCTGAAGTTGATTGACTACCATGCACAGGTACACCAGATTCTGAGTCCGAATCTCCCCCATAGGCTTTATCTGGTACATTGTTGTAATAAATGCCCATATAAAGGGTATTAATATAACATTTAAATTGTGTCTGTTATATTTGCCTGAAGTTCAGCTGTAATGTGCAAGGCCAGCTGTGGCCATGCGTATAAACTAGAAACTAATCAGAGGCCCTAAAGCAATATGAGATGTGGGGGTGTGAATGTGATGTTTATTGCTCTGTATGTTACCAGCGTCTGGTCTCAGTCAAAAGAATAACGCCAACTCCTCATCTTTTATGATGCTAACTTCTTTTGCTGAGATGACACAGTGACAGCTTTTAGTTCAATGATGACTCTGATATCACTAAATGCATAACGGCAGCCTCTGGTGTCTATAAATGTGCAATGGCATATATTTTGAAAAACATGCTGCCATGCGTTAAATATCCTTAGAGCCTGTAATATTTGATACAGATCTGTGATAAAAATGTATTTTTCTTGTGGCCTTGCTTGCTTTGAGGCCCAAGGATGCAGTCAGACAGCTGATTCTACTGCTAGAGACAAATCACCAGCGGCAGCATTAAGATGGTACATAGAAGCAGCTCTTTACTGGGAGACACACTTTCCCATGACTCTGTACACCTTAGCTTCCTAAATGCAGCATTTTAAGGGGGACCGTGGAGCCTGTGTCCCACTTCACCAACCTAGCTTGAATTTCCACCTCGCTCCCAGTGACAACATGGAGGTCCTGCCATGCACACAGCACAGATCTTTACTTGTAGCACATGTTAACTCTTTAGCTCTTCCGTATCCCCAGCTAGGTCCATAGGCTCTCTGTGCTGCACATTCGGTCTTGAATCCTCTAGGGGCACCGACCACCAGAGAGGGAGTCAGAACATCAACCCCCTTGTTAACCAGAGGACCCTTCATCCATTCCTGGTACCACTTTCCGCTGTCTGGCTGCTTTTACATTCCCACCGGT